ACATATTTTAATTCTACAAGACGTTATTGGTGTAACCCGGGAATTGTGAGCATAAGTATATACAGGGTGTTGCATCACGAGAGGGATTTCCATCTGCAAACGCTTATGTAATTCACAGTACAGATTTACTGTAAATGTTTGGTAGATCTACATGAATGGCAATCGAAATCTACAGATTATAATTAATTTTTTGTCATGTGTTTTTATTATGCGTATTTAAATAATCATCAAACTGTAACAAGAAAAAGAGACATGTCGCTGAGATTACTTTTTATGTTCTTTTCGATAATCATATGGGAATATCAAAAAAATACATACGGGGCGATGTTTTCTAGAGTTACAAAAAAAATAAAAATTTTGCAGTCCGGACCTGGAATACATATTATTTAAAGAAAATGAGGTTTAAAATATGCATGCTTATTTATAACATCTACTCTCAATTAAGCATTTGTTAATTTTTATCATGTGTCCTGTAGGTAATTTAGTTTTAGAAGCCATAGTCTCGTATATTCAATAGCTTATTTAAATAACCACCAAAGTGTATCAAAAAAAAGAAACACGTCTTTAAGGTCACTTTTGTATGCTCTTTCCGAATATCGTATCGGAATTTCAAAAAAATACATACAAAGTGTTGTTTTCTAGACTTGCACAAAAAATTTACAATTTTTGCAGTCCGGACCTGGATTTTTTTGCTGTCATATATGCATACATGAAGTATCGTGAGTGCATTAACCTTACCAAATATGAACCCATTGTTCCATTCCCTACCAAAGTTATGAGACATAAAGCAGTTTTGACCAAACATCATAAATCATCCTGTATATCAATAAAGAATGGCCAAGGAGCTACTTGTATAGGCGATCCTAGTTACCCTAGATGTCCTCTATCTCCTATTAAGCCATGTCCTTCTCCTGATGCAACACCCTGCAGATACTGTTAATTTTATAAGTTAACAAATGCCAATAATAATTATTAATTTTTCAGTTTTATCTCTCTCAAATGTAGGAGTATACATTTATTACTCTACAGGGTTTCTAAAATGTAGGCAACATGATACAGTGGAAACTAAAAAAATATTACTTTTACATAAGTTTACCTAAAAAAAAAGAAAATTATTGATTTGTACTAATTGTTTACAAATATTTTTTCTACGTTGACCAAATTTAAAGAGACGCAATTAGAAGAAATTAATAATTTAATTATGTTTTTAAATGAAAGTGTGGCAGCAACTTTTTAAGGGCGAATTTTGGTATATGAGTAAATTAGGTTCAAATAGTCTCTAACAAGGTGCCCTGTTATAAAATATTATATGCTCAATTGTTGATTCATTTTTTGTATACTTTATCCACAACTGGGTGTAAAAGTGTACTTTCCGCTTTTAAGTTTTTAGAGTAGGTTTACACACGGACGATAAAGTGATTCTATAACTTTTCTTCATTTCTTGTTACATGTAAACGAAACGATAAAACAGTAATTAAACTGACAACTGACAATTTTATTAAATGCCAGTTTTAGACATGACACTTTTATGACTGCACCAGTTATGGAAACAATTTTGTTCATATCAAGGTTGTAATAAGATTTTACCTACGACCACTACTGTAAATACTTAAAAACACACCGTCTGCGATCAATGTAAGATTCCTATTACGTACCGTAAAAAAATCGCACAGTTTTCCTAGCAACCGCCTAGCAACGGTCAATACAATACTGTTTGTATTGACCGTTGCTGGGCGGTTGCTAGGAAAACTGTACGATTTTTTTTACCAAGTTGTGTGATTCTTTAACGTACGACGTAATAGGAATCTTGCATTGATCGCAGACGGTGTGTTTTTAAGTATTTAAAGTAGTGGTCGTAGGTAAAGTATAGTACGTAATACGTGGTGTAATGCAATTACGCACTCATAGAATTACGCACTCGCCGCTACGCGGCGTCGCACTATGTATCATTTTTGTTTGTTTGTACAAAAATCAAATATCTTGACTCAGAGAGTAGATAAAAATATGAGCCTGGTTGCAAATGGAAGCTGAATGGATGTAGAATATGAGAAAAATATGACTGGGACGATTTTTTTTCTATATTACTTTCGAATGACCAGGCAAAGTCTATGCAACCCAAAAATTTTATGGATTTTTCTAATTATTACGGTCCTAATTCTCTTAAAATTTATCTATAAGTCACTGCTTACCTTCTACAGTGTGTTTATTTGACATTTATTTGTAAAATAAAAAATAGAAACCCAGGTTGATAATTAATCTTTAATTTGTGAATAATTTTCTTGCTTAACAGTGTCAAAAAGCTTGAAAATAATACCGATTTTGGAGAGACTTTGCTAGCGTTAGAAAAATGATAGAAACTTTTTGACGCCAGATTTGGAATTGCCGTGCTAAATTGTGCAAAATCGTGTGCATTGGAATAAATTTTAAGAGAATTAGGACCGATATTATTAGAAAAATCCATAAAATTTTTGGGAACCATAGACTTTGCCTGGTCATTCGAAGGTCATATTGAAAAAAAATCGTCTCAGTCATATTTTTTCCATATTATACATCCATTCAGCTTTCATTTGCAACCAGACTCATATTTTTATCTACTTTCTGAGTCAAGATATTTGATTTTTGTACAAACAAAAAAAAAAAATGATACATAGTGCGTCGTGCGTAACTTTTCCATTCGTGCGTAAAATGCTTTTTACAACACTTATTACTTAATATACTATTATAGACCTTGGTATGTAATAGCTTTAACCCTTTAGTTTATTATAAAGGTATTAGCTAATTCAAAAATTAACAAACATGTTTTCTAAAAAGTGTTATCATCAGTAAGTGTGCGATATAGTCTATCATCTAGTCGACCATCATACCCACACGTTTTTGAGGTAGCCGATATCTATTTGATGACGTTAGCTCAAGGTTATTCGAAGGTCACTCCTCCTTTTTTTTATGGTAATACAATTCTTGTCCCCGGATTCTGAAAAAGTGAGAAATTTCAAGTTGGGATACGTGGTTGATTTATTTTTTAACGTTTAAATGTTCGAGGTGATTTGAAGGTCAACTCTTGTTTTTTTTGGTAATACAATTTCTGACCTCGGATTTTGAAATAGCCAGAAATTTTACATTCGGACAGTGCCAGTGATTTAGTTACTTTTAAAGTAATTTTCAAAGTTATTTGAAAGTCAGTTCTCCGTCTCGGACTTCTCAGGCTCGAATCTCATCAAAATAGTAGATATCGGGGAAAAATGATTATGGGTTATCAGGCTCTTGGTGATTTCAATAAGATCGACTCTAAGACGGTGAAATGACAATTTTCTTATGATTTTCATATTTTTGAGGGCATGAAAATGACCTACACGCTCTCAGCTTGTCTCCTTAGAATAGTTGGTTTCACACTGAGAATATTTATTTCACATCCTGCTATATCAGAATATAATGGAGATGGCGATTTTATCCTGAATGGGCCCCTCCTACGATATAGAGAGGTATTACCTTAAAAAAACACGAGTTAGTCTTTGAACACGACCTTCAAGGTCAAAACCAAAGTCTAAAGATGGTGGTTCCCAATGACCCAAACAACTTTTATCAGTCAATAAGGGAATGTGACCTTCAAATGACATTGAAAATTACCTTAAAAAATAGCAACCAAGAGTTGACCTCCAAATAACATTGAACATGAACTACATTTCTTGAACGGACATCGTCTTCGGGCTCAGAGACCTCAAAGACATGATCTAGTCTATCATACAATGATTTTTGTAATTATTCAAAATAAAAACTAAAAGTGATATGATTAAATATAATTAATAAAAAAACACATCTAACATATTGAAATAGTTAAATTATATAATTATTCAAAGATAGATCTTGTATTTTTGTTGTTCTAACATCACCCCTGACAAAGGTAAATACATGACAAGAGCTGCTATAGAAAGGTTTTCCTGTTTCCACATTTTGCGTAGGATTGTTTCGTTTGCGAATGTAATTATATACAGGGTGTCCCGAAATTCCTGCAACAAAATTTGCTTATAGATTCTTAAGACAAATTTAGAGGACCCAGAATTTTTTCTTTTTGACAACTGGCCCCCTCTTTCGGAGTTACAGCCCCCTGAAATCTGCCCCTAAGAAACCATGTTGTACGAGAATCACTAAATTTGGTACACAGGGGTTTTATGGCATGTGGAATCTCACAGTGCTGCACTTTTTGGCGAGAAACCCCCTTAAGACACTTTTTCGTGGGCCCCCTTGTCTTTGGAGCCAGAAAAATTTGGTAGTAAATTTGATGTTTTTTTTAATTATTAGTTAGCTAGAAAGCCATTGAATTTAGAAACTTTTTTGTCTCTTGATATTTGTTTCGTAAAACGCAATGTTTTTGAGGAAAATTGCGATTCACGATATGCATTCGATCACATTTTGACATTTTTCTCGAAAACATTGCGTTTTACGAAAAAAGTGTAATGGGACAAAAAGTTTCTAAATTTAATGGCTTTCTAGTGGACTGATAATTTTTAAGAAATTTATATATGCGACCAAATTTTTTTGACTCCAAAGACAAGGGAGCCCACGAAAAATTGTCTTAAGGCGGTTCTCCGCCAAAAAACGTAGCACCATCAGATTCCACATGTCATAAAATCCTGTGTACCAAATTTAGTGATTCTAGTACAACAGGGTTCTGACATATAAAAAAAGGATTATTCTTAGGGGCGGGCTTCAGGGGCTGTAACTCCGAAAGAGGGGGCCACTTGGTAAAAATACGGGTCCCCTATATTTGTTTTAAGAATCTGTGACCAAATTTTGTTGCATGTTTTTTAAAAAGTAAGTCCTTTAGCTTTTATTTTTGCTTTGCGGGTCGTAAATGCCCATTACACATTCTTGGTTACGACTATATGTTTTTATTAATTGTTTTACCATTTTAATAGTACCCAGTCCATGATGTATTAAATTAAATATTTATTTAGCATATATCGCTCAATTATGATAAACTGAATGCAATTTAACATCTCTAGGAAGACAAATTCGGTGGATGGCCCTCGGTCCCTGCCGCGCAGAGGTGTCAAGTCGCGCCTCCTCCAGTTCAACACCAGCCACGGGTACGTCTGTTTGTACGTACTTATATAACCTCACACCAACCCCCTTCAGTCAGCACTCTGGCAGCGGCAGGATCGAGGGTCGTTTTTTTCAATTTTTGTAACTCTCTGGTCGATTATCTCCTAGAAAAGAAAAACAGTTTGTGTTCTCGAAAGGCCTGCCACTGCCATTGTGTCGCCATTCATCACTGCCCTTTCATTTTTGTAAGATGTGTCGCGTGTGTGCCTCTTCGAAAACATTTACTGTTTTTTTTTCTTGACGGTGTTTTCTAGGTCCATAATACTCTTTTCTTACATTTAATGCACCTGGCTGTTTATATCCATTTGGATGTCTATTTATTTTATTCCTTAATTCAACTGTCAAATCTCTAGAGGGTGGTCGTTCCTTGGACAAAACTTCATACAAAAACGCTTCGTTTGGAGATGACCTGCTCTCAAAGTTTTTTTTCTTGAATATGTTTATAACTACTTGAAGTATCAGTACCAAATATTTAATATTAGTTTTTAAATTGTAATGGTGTGCCGCAAAAAATATGTTGTCTGAAACTTGTCAATAGCAAGCAGAAAATAATGTGACGTTCATTTTCAATTATGAAAAAATGTTTCGTAAACAACAAAGATTTGTTCGTAGCTTTCTAAGTACATCAATATGTATTGAGAATAATTTACTTTTAAATATGTACTAAAGAAATACCAGTCTTTTTAAAATGTATTTTCTCATATTACAAGGTGCGTTCGAAAGTAAACAGGACCTTTCAAAAATAGGTATTTCTAATGAGGCCATCTATCGGCAGTTACATGGATGAATAGAAGCAGAGTTATCGCGTCTGAAGTGATATATGTTTATCTGCTCCCACTATAGTAAATAGACTATTAATACATTTAGTCCAATCGGCAGAGGCCGAAAAGTTACTGTTGGTGACATTTCCTTGATAACACGGAAACAACTACACAGGAATACTTTAAATGATGAGTACAATAACAGGCTAATTTGCTGACAAAGTATTTTATCAGGAAAAAAGTTATTAACAATTTAATCGTGAAAAAAAATTTTTTTAGTAGTTTTCTTTAAATAACTCAGCGGGATGACTTTCTACGAAAAAATGCTTAGGACATGATTTTGTTCATAATAAAAATAGTTACAAAATGGCGGTGGTCCGATTACGAAATTTGCAATAACAAAGCCTTGAGATTGAAAATACTGTATAAAACGTCAATTTTTTAAAGTTGCTGTAAATATGTCAATTATAAACAAAAAGTGATAAAACTTTCGAAAACTATAGTTCGATATATATACAATAACGATGTTAAAGCCGAAAATCAGGAGAGCAAAACTTTTTGTTCTATAAGGTGTTATACATCCATCGGCATCTGAAACTCGAAATTTGTTTGAAGTTTTGCTGACACTTGAAATTGGGTATACACATAGTGTAAATATGCAGAAACCAAAAGCAATTTGCAAAATTCAATTATTTTCATTTTTGCAGCTTTGGTAAGATTTTATACGTCAACCTAGTTTTATACGTCACTGTTTTTTTTTTAATTTTTGGAAAAATATATACCTATGTATGTATATTTATAAAATATTCCATCACAGTAGATTACCAGCACAATTACCTACAATTAAAAAATAATAATAATTTATTAATTTTCATCGTTTAGATCCTAAGCTACTTAACATTTTGCGCCTGTTAGCCGTAGTCGTACATTATTCAACATATCAACATAATAGAAAATCGTACATGTGGGGTAAACCTTTAACTTTCCATTTTCGAGCGCGAGCTCCCTCTTCGGCTCTTTTATACTATTAGAAATATGCAACAGTAAATTTAAACAATTGTTTACTTAAAGATAAAGGTTTACCCCACGCGTACGGTTTTGTTTTATGTTTATACATTGAATAATGTACGAGTATGGCTAACAGGCGCAAAATGTTAAGTAGCTTAGGATCTAAACGATGAAAATATATATTTTTTAAATTGTAGGTAATTGTGCTGGCTAATCTACCGTAATGGACTATTTTATAAATATACGTCCAAAAATTAAAAAAACAGTGACGTATAAAACTAGGGTGACGTATAAAACCTTACCAAAACTGCAAAAATTAAGATACTTGAATTTTGCAAATTGCTTTTGGTTTCTGCATAATTACACTGTGTGTATCTTTCAAGTGTCAACAAAACTTCGAACAAATTTGGCAAAGTTTCGAGTTTCATATGCCGATGAATGTATAACACCTTATAGAACAAAAAGTTTTGCTCTCCTGATTTTCGGCTTTAGCGTCATTATTGTATATATATCGAATTATAGTTTTCGAAAGTTTTATTACTTTTTGTTTATAATTGACATTTTTACAGCAACTTTAAAAAGTTGACGTTTTATACCGTTTTTTCAATCTCACAGCTTTGTTATTCCAAATTTCGTAATCGAACTAGCGCCATTTTGTAGCTATTTTTATTACGAACAAAATCATGTCCTAAGCATTTTTTCGTACAAAGTCATCCCGCTGAGTTATTTAAAGAAAACTACTAAAAAAAATTTTTTCACGATTAAATTGTTAATAACTTTTTTTCCTGATAAAATACTTTGTCAGAAAATTAGCCTGTTTGTACTCATCATTTAAAGTAGGCATGTGTAGTTATTTCCGGGTTATCAAGGTTTGACACAGGCGGAACCTCTACCAACTGGACTAATTGCTTTTAAGGAAGTAAGTGGATTTTACCGTAGAAGTGGAAGTTGCTATGGACTACGGGAGGTAAGTGTAGTAACTTACCTGCCTAAGGAAAAAAGCGAGTTTGTGTTATAAATGCATATTTTATGAATAAATAAATAGAAATATTTGATGAACATAACATTTTATTTATTACTATGAATGAATATCTATAGTAATTGTACAGTTATTACATTTAGTAACATTTATAAAATCTGGATAATTATTCCCCTCGCGTTTACTAATTGTCACATTTTTCTAAAAATGATTTATCCGCTCCATTTCAGTCACCGGAGGCTCAATATTATCTGACTGATCCATTAAAACAGCATGATGCGACGTACTACTAGAACTTGGAGTTGAACTATCATTGTAAAGAATCCTATTGGCTATTTCATTTTTGTTACTTAAACTGTCAGCGACATAACTTTCTGCAATTGTGGATGATATCCACCCACCATGCCTCTCCATTGCTAATACATCAACTCCTGTATTAACCAGTAACATTGCCGATGTTCTTTGGAATGAATGGCCTGTATATGTTTTAGGATGTTCTAGTTTCAAAAACTGTACAATCTTATTAGGAATCATAGTATTCTTGCCGACTGGTTGGTTGTAAGAACTACCTGCTTGATAGCGCATAAAAAGGCGTGAAATTTCAGTTTTAATTTCCAAACTAATCTTGATATATTTCTCGAGAATTTCTAGGTGAGAAACAGAACCGAGACAAGAAGTAATTGTAAACGTACGTGACATACCATTTTTAGAATCTGGAATTGTAACTACAATAATGTCATCGAAATTTTTAAAATTGACATTTTCCAAAGTAAGTTTGCAAAACTCATCAGAACTGCATGCTCCTGCAATGCCTAAGACCATCACTACCTTCATTCGCAAATAAGTGTTATCAGGTGCCTGAACGAGAAAATCGTTGACTTGTTCTCTTGTAAAATCGTTTGACTTTTTAGGTGTATAGCCGTCATTCTTTCAAAAATGCTCCCAGCTTGAGGTATTTTGATATATCCACGTTCTCCTCTATGAAAATAGTTGACTTTATCATTGAGTATTCACTCTACAAACTCGCCGTTGACTTTAAAGTTCTTGACTTCCCATTAAATATTCTAGCAGTGACATTTCAGAAACATCAGTATTTTTGTTCTGGCACCATTCTTTGAAATTTCTATATGCTCGTCCGTAGTGCAAGGGCTGGCAATAGAGTCCGAGTAAATTATACTTAACTGCTGCGTGGTGTATAACATTTTATCTGCTCCCACAGTTCTTTATGGTTCATGAAATAAAGATTAGGTTTTATTTTTTGACATTTCTTAATCAATTCATTTTGACATTATTCGAAATCTTGCAAAGTTGTTTGGATTTTGTCGTTTCTAAGGTGTTTATAAACAAAGCTACATAAAAGTTGCAATTTTGCTGGTTTTGAATTATTATTTCTAAATGAGTGATTTTCAAATAGAAAGTGCATCAAATGCTGCCTGCGAATTTTTATTGCCCGAGAAGTCGAACGTGTGCTACGGACGAGCATATAGAAATTTCAAAGAATTGTGCCAGAACAAAAATACTGGTGTTTCTGAAATGTCACTGCTATCATATTTCATGGATAAGTCAAGAATTTTAAAGTCACCGGCGAGTTTGAGGAGTGAATACTCAATACCCTAAGCTGAGAGCATTTTGGAAACGTAAGAATGACGGCTATTTTGCAATTAAATAATGATTCAGCAGGTAAAGCAACGCTTTTTATTACTTTTAATTATAAGCGCATACATGTCACAATAACAACTGTCAAAATCAACAACCACAAGTCTAAAATTAATATTATTTCAAATTTATTGCAACACTCTCCCTATTTGAAATAAGTCTTTGACCTCTGGTGCACTTCAGGAATTTAACTTTATCCAAAGGCTTCGTTAATGAATCTGCCAACATGTAATTAGTGGATACATACTTGTTTGATATAATTCCATTATCAATTTTCTCCTTCAGGAAATGATGACGTATATCAATATGCTTCGTGCGAGCTTGATAAGTACCATTCAAAGCCAATTTCTGAGCACCCTGATTATCTACATATAATAAAGTTGGTTTCGTGTTAGCACTGAGTTCATAGCTTAAGCCTCGGAGCCATATAGCTTCTTGTACGGCAGATGACATAGCCATATATTCTGCTTCGGTCGTACTTAAGGCTACTGTGGGCTGTTTCTTAGTGTTCCAGGAAATTGGAGAGCCATTTTTCAAGAAAATATAACCCGTAACTGAACGCCTATCGTTCGGATCGCTT